CCCCAAAACCCCAAAACCCCAAAACCCCAAAACCCCTGTGGAGGGAGGGGGTGTTGAAATTGGGTTTTTAGGTAGGTATACTCTTTACACACTCATTATATCTTGTTACTCTTCTGTTGTCTCTCTTAATCAACACTGAGCAAGTCATAGAAGGTATTGTCATAGTAAGATGTACCTTTCTCCATGAGTCTTGTAATAAATCCCTGAAATTCCTTATAATGATCAGCTTTATTCGTCTAAAATAGTAAAATTGCTCTTACTGATAGCAGAAACTCTGCCTCTGGGGTACTCTCCCAAGGAGATGAGTTGAGATCGAAATAGTTGAAGTTGAAAATAGTCGGCTCTCTGGACCAGAATTTAGTAGCTTTATAGAAAAACTTGGCTAATTTCAGGCCTATAATTCTCAAAATGTTGCAAATTACTTCATATTTTCTCACTGAGCAAGGCTCTAGTGGTTTTATCTACTTTGATGATGCGTTCCTGTGGCATGATAAGTACGAATTCTTCAATATTGAGATCTAAAGATTTATCCCACAACTAAAGATGAATCTAGAGCATACTTCTAGCAAAGCTGGGCTGGTGTTGTTATCAAACTGGTCATTCCTACAGATAATATGTCAATTACATTATTGTCAGAAAGACTCGAGTATTTGTTGGGATCCTTTCAATAATTTTATCAAGCTGATCATACTGCACATCTACAAAGTCATTGTTCAGTGTAAGATGGATTTTCGCACCTAGAATCCTTATTAAACCCTGATTTTAACACCAAACTGTACTAAAACTTACAACACAGAGGACTCTCAATCACCGGTATGATCTTTGAGGTACCAGTAATGTAATCGGTAACACTCCTACTAATGAGAAATTTTTGAGTGCTTAGGTCCATATCCATGTTTACACTATATTTCATCTTAAGAGTTTACTTTTGGTCATAAATCTGAATGAACAATGCAAATTTATCAAATTGAATATCTTTGATGAAATCTTCAAAAATCTTTGTCTCAAAACTACACTGCCTGATATTTTTGAAAATCAACTGATCAAATTTAGAAGACCAAATAAAGTAAGAGTCACAGTTTAGTGTACTCATTGATTCCTTAGAAAACTCTATTTGAAGTTCATCACATTCGAAGAAGTAGTTTGAATCTGTAGTCGCATAGCATATTTTCGGACTATAAAGTGGTACAAACCCTTACTTTTTGAGTATCAAATCGCCTTTGAAGGAGTGCTTATTTCCTACTTGGATTTCTGAGAAAGCTATCTCTGGATACTAAAGACACATTTAGAATAAAATCAGTACCTTATGAGAGACATCAATCATAGCTTGTATACACTCAGCTGATAGGGCCATTCTGCTGATATAACTTATCCGAATTTCCTACAGTAATTGTAAAGAATTCATACGTTTAGTGAAACTTGTCTATAAAATGACAATCAATCTCTTACTCTGAGGTATTGAAAATAGCAATAATTCCTTCAACTCTTGACACTAGTTGGGTGATGTATTCCTGAGAGATATGAAGCATCTTCAGGCACACAGTCCTGACTGATCTCAGGATAATTTCATTAGGAGGATTTTCCCCAACCAAAAAGTTGTCAATAGCTTCATCTGATTCTAGCCTTAATTCAAAAATAGGTATCTGGATTTCTGTTAACAAATACAGATGCTTAGCAATTTGGATCTTGAGGGATCCGATCTTGTGACACATCTTCCATAAATTAAACAGAGGGATCTGTGAAAGATATGAAATCCTCTCAGTGATCTTGAAAGTATTGGACCTGAAAGACAGCATTCTCATGCTTACATCTGAAGTAGTCCTTAATATACTCTCTTCAAAGCCTAATTCTACTAGTTTCGAATGTACGCTGTTGAGTAAGGGCAAGTTTTCATTGGATAAGCTCCATCTTATAGCAGAAAACTGAACCTTAGAAGGGTTTTGTAATTTAATTAGGAAATTTATGAAATTCTTGTAACTCTGTGTCTCAATAAGAAGAATCTCAAGTTTGTAATTTATCTTCCCATAGCGCCTACGGTTATAGTCAAATCTTACTTTTCCAAAGAAAGGATGTAGTTAGCGAAATCAGAGTTGAATTGAAATCTGTAGCTTAGGACACTGAGTTCTTGGGATAATAGATTGCTAAATGCGAATCTATTCTTTTGCCAGGATTGGTTGGTCTTCTTACTCAGGACCATCATCATCCATTCTCATGCATTAAAATATCCATAGTACTGCAAAATTCACGATGCATGACTAAACTTGTATAGAAGCTATACTTCATATTCCGATTTGTACCTCCGAAGTCTGAGTAAATGTGGAATCTTTCTCCATTATATCAAAATTAATTATTCTTCAATAATTTTAATGTAAAATGGGGTTTTGGGGTTTTGGGGTTTTGGGG